TAAGAGTGGACAATGAGGTCAACACCCAACAGTGACAGTCTGTTTCATGTTTAAATGCAATCTTCTGGTCTGAAGATTGTGCTTAAACATAAAACAGACTGCCACCACTGGGAGTGTTGACCCCCACTGTCCACACCCAATATTTAAAAAAAAAAAAAAAATCCACACTCAGATTTATGTAAACAGAAGACAGTAATTACATCATTGTGAGTTCAATCGTCACTGGATGCACTGATTTTGTAACTTTGTAAATCCTTAGTGCTCTGTTCTCCACTAAAGATGATCTTATCTAAATATTTAATTTTATATAAAGATTACTTCTTCAGATAAAAGTAATTAGAAATTCCTTTTAAAACATTTGCTGTCTATCAAATGTCTCAAAGAAAGTCCTAATGGTTAAATTCAGTCTTGTAATACATTATTCAATAATTCCATAAACATTTAATTGAAAACATTTAAGATGTTTTTGGTTAAGCAACCCAACTCCAACACTCAGCAAAGATAACAAATGACTTTGGTGCAGAATTAGAATCCAGCCTGTAGGGTATGTCCTGCTGCCATTTTATCTTTTGCCAACTCTTCTACAAATGGCCAATGACAGTAAAACAAAACAAAAAAAAAAAAAAAAGAATAAAAACTAATTCAAAATCTGAACAATGATTTCATTAGACATCATCCTAATAACAGAAAAAGCAAGTCAAAATGTAATTTTTCAATATTTTACTTAAAATTTAAAATATTTGCAAAATGATATTAAATCCTGTTGATCAGACCAGGTACACATTTCAGAAACTCTTGTTTAATTATTCTTAACCATTAAGAATCAAGTTTTTACCTTTTAGCAAAAGCCTGATGATTATCATACAGGAGGGTTTGTTCATTCCCCCACCCCATATTCATAATGAAAGTCCTTATTGGATTAAATTATATATCTGTTTTCAAGTGGCACAGGTAACTTTTAACAAATTTTAATAGACACTTGTATGGGCACGTGCACATACACAAACAATTTCACTCACTTTGGTTTTTAGTCAATTTAAAAGTTTAGACATTTCTAACTATTGTAATAAGGATAGCTAAGTTTGTTTTTTCTAAGGAGAGATTAATAAAGGCCTATCGGGAACAAATTTGTTCCAGCCTTAAAAGAAAAAAAAAAAAGAAAAAAGAGAGACTAACTGGTCCCCTCAAAAATACAAATCCATCAGGCATCATTTAGCCACAGCTATCACTTGTCACACACCTATAATGCGGATTTAACAAATTCACGTTTGAATCTTCACAAAGCAGTTTTCACTTTATTAGAGCATTCATAAATGGACGCATAAAGGAGTTTCATTTGACAAAAGTTATTTGCCCTTGATGTGATTGCAAAATAAGATTTTACACTTGCATAATTCGCAGGACAGTAAAGAGTGACATAAAATGAAACATGCACAAGGACATGTGATGGATCTTTTTTGGTAGATTCAAAACAATTATCACACTTTAAGAGAATAAAGATGGAGGTATCAAATAGTTGTTAGTAGTATAAAGATTTGGCATCCACTCCTACCTCAAGATTATCTACCCAACTGAAAAAAGAAAAATTCATAAATATATTAGGATTAAATAAAGAAAATGAAACTTTTATTACAGATCAATCTATGTATTACATTAGCAGTTGTGTTGTCGTGGTAAAGAAGTCCAGCTGGTCAGCAGAGCAGCAGTGGTGACATGTGGAGTGAACCACAGTGCTACACAAGTTGAATGTTAGGCTTCTTTGTTAAAGAGGCCAGGGGTCAACAACATGACAACAACAACATACATGCACACACGCATGCACGCACACATGCACACCACCAGGGATTTTTTTTTTTTTTTGTAGGGTTTTTGTTTTGTGTTTTTTTTTGTTTTTTTTTTACTTTTTCAAACTTTTCCAGTCTTTTCTTTTATATATTTAAATTTTCTTTAAAATTTTCCTATTTAGACACAAACATTTTTTTTTTAATTTTCCATTTTTTGTTTTTTTTTCTGCAATTTTATTTATTTCTTTATTTTTTACAAAGAGTTATAACTTTAATTTTGTTTATTATATATATATATATATATATATATATATATATATATATTTATTCCTTACCCTCCCCACAACACAACAATACAGGAGGATTTAGTCTCATTTGGACGTCTGATCCACAAAGTTCAGGTGAAATGACCGAGATGATAAAAACTACTAAAGGGCCACTGTAACTGTGTGGCTGGCTGTTTGAGTTATGGCGCATATATATATATATATATATATATATAATATGCATGTAATATATAACAGATATATAATATATTGAGAGGGTGGAGGAGAAGGAGGAGGCTGGCATATGAAAAATAATATGTATAAAACAACCAGTGTATAAATCAAAGAAATATATTATTTCTAATCTAACATTTAATACACTACACACCGCAGTTGCAGTATGTGCAGACATTCCCACAGACATTCATCAAAGGGAGATAACTAGGTGCTACAAAGTGAAATAGAGGAAGAAGAGAAACAGCAGCAGCAAGTCAGAGCCCATAATGTGCCGCATTTAAGTCAGCACCACTTCATACAATTGGGGGGCGGAGTTGGGCAACTAAGAGGAAGCAGAAATATCACAAAAAAAAAAAAAAAAAAAAAAAAAAAAGGGAGGAAAGTTAGTAACAAAGCAATTGGAGTAGGTAGAGTGAAGGAGAGGTAAAATGGGAAAGTGGCAGTCTCCATTCAGGGGGCTGCTGGTCATGGAAGCCTTCTCATTCAGAGACAATTGAATATCTATGGGCAGACACTAAGCAGCATAATTGTTTGTGAAGGAAAGTGACAGACACCAACACTCAAAGTGGCCTTTTCTTTTACTTGTTTTTTTTTCTCTTTCTTTCCAAAAACATGTATCTAATGTTTTAAGGAAACTTTCCAATCAAAAAAGGCATTAACCAAAAAAAAGTAAGGTCATAAAATTGCTTACAAAAGAAAAATGTGGCTGTAATGGCAGCTCTGGCTAACAAGAGGTAAACAGCTTAAAAGAAATCTAACAAGCAAGCAGGGCTCTGCTTTCTCAACATAATTTCAGCTTGTGCTTTGAAAGGACTGGAAATTAGGCCGGTTTAGATATTTTTAATATGTATCATATGAATACACTTTATTTAACATTTTCAAATCAGCCAGGGAAGATATTTTCATGCTGGCCTCTGGTAGCTAAACTATATATATATATATGTGTGTGTGTGTGTGTCTGTTTTGGACATTTCCCAGTGATGTTGGTTCTTCTATAGTTTTGAATAATAGTGTAATACTGGTACAATACATAATAAAAATAATCATACACAAAAGTAAAAAAAAAAAAAAAAAAAAAAAACCAAATAAAAAACAAGTGGTTATATAACTGGAATCCTGGATTTTCCAAATGGACAGATGGTATGAAAGACATACAAAAATCTAAATAGCAGCATTTTACTCTGTACTAGAACCAGATGGTTTTACATCTTATCAGTAGTTATGATGACCACCATTAAAACTGAAGCACAGGTTATTGTCTAAAGATCAATTTATAGTTTCAAGAATTAATTATTTCATAACAATTTAGGGTTATTTTTTTATTTCATATGTGTATAATAAACTAGGCTTAATCCCTTTTCAAGTTTTTGAAATGTGGGATGATTTGATATGTGTTTACATCCTAAATATAAACAAATATGAAAACTGTTGCAAACATGCTGATACTCAAGACATTTATGAATGTCTGTTGATCAAAATTTTGAGAAAATAAAAGTTTTCCATGGAGAGAGAGAGAGAGTGAGAAAAAAAAATGGCAGTAGGGGGGATTAAAACTAAAAGACCGCAAGTGAATCCTGAGCTTAGAACCAAAAAGCTCGAACAAGCAACAACCCCCTATGGCTGGGGGGTAGGGATGAGGGTAAACAGAGCATAAAAGTAACAACTTCAATGAAGTTTGAAACTAGAATCTGAAAAGAGATCAGTTTGGGTCGCAACCAAATTTTAGGAAAAAAAACATTTTTTTTTTTTTATAAACTTTTCTTTTGGCTACTTCTTCAGGGAAGAAGGGAAAATAAATTCATAACATGACATCATAAATCAGAATCCATTAAAAAAAAAAGGAAGAAAAGGAAAGAAAAATGTTGAGTCAAGACAGATCACATTGTTATTTGGATGATTTCTCTGTGTATTGAGAGCATCTGGATTATCTCCCCTGTGCAACCGCTTTCGCCATTATTTTTCACTAGTAGGGCGACCTGAGCATATTTACCTATTTATATATAGTAAGTCGAGTATCAGGTTTATTCATATGAGCTCAACAACTAAGCCAGCCATAGCCATTAGTAGCAACACAAAAGACTTTAGGCCACAATTACAATGTGGCTGCATAGGATGTGGAAATAAATGGTATATATGATAATGATGTGTTTTTTAAAAAAAAAAAAAAAATATTCACTGGACAGGTGGAGAGTAGTGTATGTATGTATGTGTGCATGTGTGTGTGTGTGTGTGTGTGTGTGTCTCTATTCACTCACAAACAATATGCTTGTGATGCAGGAGTCTGCAAAAGATGTGTGCTATACACTCACATATGACAGAGGATGGCGAAGGTGCACTGTGCTATGTATACAAATCTCCATACACAAACACACACATAGAAATACACACAAACAGTTATATTTTAACAAGCATGCTGTGTACATGTGTGTGTTTGTATAATAGCCACAGTCATCACATTGAGACATGAACCAATAAAAGCCCCCAACTAATTTAAAGTTTACAATTTTTCCCCCACCCACTTTCATATGTTAAATAATATTGTTTTGCTTTTTTTTTTTCTTTTTTTTTTATTAGATTTTTTAAAATTTTTTTTATAAACTTGGAAAAACTTTGGAATACAAAGAAAAACAATTGTTCATTTTTTGTTTTTGTTGTTTTTAAATTGAAATTCTAATATTTTTTAAAATTATCTTTATTAACTTTTTTTTTTTTTTTAATTTTTTAAAATTTTTTCCGCCAACACAGACAGACTTTGGTTAGGAGTTGTAAGGGGAAGAATAATGATAAAGGTTGCTGACAGGGGAAAGTGTGGGGGAGGTCTAGGGGAAAAGAGGGGGAAGGTGGAATGACTGATGGGAGGGGTTGCGAGACAGCAGGAAGAAGCAGTAGTTAAAAAGATGCCAACAGTGGATGGCTTCAACAATGAGCCACAGATGGTTAAACATCAGAAATATGTACAAAGATGTTAAGATTTAAAAAATACCCTACAGAAAAAAAAAAATAGAAACAAATTCTTAGAGCCAGTGTTAAAGTTCCATGTCCTGCACCTCATCCTCTGAGAAATCCGACATGGAACTCTCGGTCGATGTTGAGGTATGTTCCTGCTCCCGCAATGCTTCTTCTGTTGCATATTTTTTCACATACTCTGAAATGAAATGGAAAAAAAAAGTGAAGGTGTTATAGAGTAGTTTCACAGTGGAGGCTTGTATTTCACTAAGTCGGTCCTAAAATAGGTTCGACGTACAAACCGTTAGGAACTTGATATGATAGGTAATGACGAAGAGATATAGTAGTAGTAGCTGGTACTTTTTAGTATCCAACTAATGGTCGTCCGACATCGACTGACTGACCAACTCCGCGACGACTCCTACTACTCCTACTTATTATAGGTGGGAGAGTCTATTAACAATAGAATAGGTGTGTTTCACTATAGAAGGTTTCAAAATAAAATGCAATCTAATCAACTTTAAAACATCATAAAAACAATTTTTATAATACTTCAAATTGTTGCAGGCTGAATTTCTGAGAACCATTGGCAGAAAGGTTTTGAACAAAAAGCTGAAAGTTTTGAGAATTCTACTCTAATTGAAGTGGCAAAATATCAACTCAAATTGGCTGCTAGGCTGATCATGAGAAATCTAAAAATAATTCTCTCTATTCTAATTTAAATACAAGGTACAGCCAAAGTAATGCCCTTCATTGAACAAAAATAAATTAAAGTAGTTTAAGAAAATTTATAAGTATTGTCATATCAAAACAACATGTTGAAAATGCTCCCTTCATGTTCAATACAAGACTAAAACCTATCAGCAACACTTCTACAAGACATTTGATACATTTCTACTTACATTCATAAAGTTTAAGTACCATAGTGGAAGGTTCATCAGAACAATTACCATGAAAGTATTTATAGTAAAATGGCACAGAGAAGCTACATTACAGTAGTGGGAAAGTGATTGAAGCCAAAATGCCAGTTCAGAACCAATAAGATTACAGATTCTTCTTTGGATTTTATCAAGAATCTCTAAATATACAGGTGCACCAGACCAGACATAGCAGCAATATTCAATACATGAATGTAATGGTAGACCTATAGTGAACCAACTTTTCTAGCAGCAGATCTTTGCCAAGATGATATAATAGCAGTTAATTGTAATTATATCAGAATGTACAGGATGCAGCAAAAGTAACGCCATTTTTTTTATTTAAATAAATTAGAGTAGTTTAAGAAAATTTATAAGTATTGTCACATCAAAACAACATGACTTATGATTAACAAACTATTTTTTTTTTTTTTAAGCATTACGCCCTGAGCAAGGCATGAAGCCACTAGGATGCAGGGGGTTGCAGAAGATTTGGAGCGAGAGCAGATAGGAGTGATAGAAGAAAGGATGAGGAGAAGGATAGTGGGTAGATCAAGGTAACTGGAGGTGTCGATTGACATTACATTTGAATAGTTGGAGATTATAGCTCTCAGGGAAACAGTAATTGGGAAGGGTGTTCCACAGGCGAGAGGTGCGAGGTATGAAGCTATTGGAGTAGAAGAGATGGCTACATTTAAAAGTTTCTACAGTGTAAGGGTGGGAGTGCGAGGCCAGGCTCATAGCGCGCTTGAATTCATGGAGTCTGGGAACCAGTGAAAGCAGCTCATCAGAGCAATTACCATGGAAGTATTTGTAGAAAAGACAGAGACAGGCGAGCATGTTTAATACAATGTTGAACTCTATTAGCCACACTTCTACAAACCATTTAACGCATTTCTACATTAATTTCAGAACATTTATTAAAAATTGTTTATTCTAATCCAGGAAATATTTATGGTTTGAGCATGTAAACAAGATCTTTCAGTACACCTCAGAAGAAAAAAGTCTGGTGGTGTTAGGTCTGATGATTGTGATGGCCACTCAATTGCTGCACGTTATCCTAACCATTCATGAATGAATAACCCATCTTAAACTAATTTATTTTTGTTTAATAAAAGTTAACAAATAAAAAAAGGCGGCATTACTTTTGTGGCACCCTGTATGTTGGAATAAAATCTCAGGGATTTTCAAAAACAAACTTTCTTGACTGTATCTAGATAAGATTGCCTACTGCAGAAAGGTTTTGTGAACAGACTTACCTTGAACTTTCTTCTTATATTCCTCAGGTTTATGCAAATACATGGCTGCTGCATCACCATTTAATGGATCGATGGGGTTAGGGTAGGTTAACAATTGTGGCAAGAAAGATTCAAAGATGTTGGACAAATCTATATATAAAAAAAAAAAAAGAAAAAAACTAGTTTATGTTTCAAAACTATTCAGAAACAGCTCCATAAACAAAACAAAATCTTCTCAAAAACATTGTCAAATTTAACTTTATATTGCATAACAGTAACTAAGGCATGAACCCTAAATTCCATAAGAGATGTGAAATTAAAAATAGATTTACTTATGACATCTCTGCAGAATATCCAGGCTTTTTAAGTATCTTGAGGTTTCCTGACCCCATGATGTAACATTGGCAACCAATAAGAGAAGACCTTAATATACATGAGGGAACAGACACTCTCCCGTGAGGTTACACAGTCAGCAGTAAAATGGTATTAAATCAGTCTGTATACCGAGTGAATACAAAGGTTTTGCTAGAAACATAGATATTCACCCATGGAAATTATTTGAAAGATTAAGACGGCCTATAAAAAATTATTCAAATGATCTGAATTTCTAAGAAAAGATTTTGGTAATGAGGATTCAAACTTGTCCAGAAATCCAAATGAGCAAAAGATATAGTTTGAGATTTTGAGAGAGGATCAATTTGAACATGAAGGGATTGAAACCCAGATTTTGAGTATATGACCATCATAACCTTCAAATAAATGCCCCATGCCTACCCAATACAAGTCACCCGAGTCAAGCTCCCAGGGATGTAGCAAAGTCAGAGTAATGTGGAGGTGGTTTTTTTTTTGGTTTTTTTTTAGGTTTTATGCAATATATTATGAGCACACTCTTCTAAACCAGGCACTAAATAAGAAGCATTATTCTGAACTTCTTTTCTGGTTGAGAAATGCTGTAAAAAGAACACAGTTGAATCTGTAGCTTCATCAAGACAATTTGCCTGCCCACTTCTCATGTTTTGATCAAAATCATTACTTGACCCTCCAGATTCTAGATTTGGCTCCCAGTAACTTTATTCAAAGTTAAAATTACAATTAAAAGGGAGGAGATCGGTTCAGACACTCATCACATTCTTAACAATGAACGTGATGAGGCAGCTTTGTAAACCTCTTATTATATGGCTGGATAGAGTCAAGATAAAACCTCATAAAATTAAACTATTTTCTTCAATGGCACAATTTCATAAAATGTTTTTCAAGAAATATAACAAAACTAGCCAAAGTTACAAAAAATGCTAAAATGTTGAGAGGTAATGTTAAAATATTAAATAAAAATTATATTTCTTTACATTAAAAATAAAAATTGACTTCACTATGTCATTATTTAGTAATTGGATGTATTTGAAAAACTAAATAATGATGTAATAATATTTACCATAGAGGGCTGTCCATGCTTGATTAATAACATCCAAACATACAGTTCCAGAACTGACAAATAAGAAAAAAAAGAAAACGTTTCAAAAGTAAAATATAAAATAGTTAATGTGAGGTATGTGAGTTGTATCTTAAGTTTTATTATTGATTTTTGAAAGATAATATTGCTGTCATAATATTTTCATTCAAGAAATGGTTAAAGAAATAAAATGCAGAAATGGGTGTGGGTGGAACCTAGCCTGACAGAATAAATTATTTTCATATCATCTTGAATTATTTCATCATTATACACTTTCATGATTTTTTTTGTTTTTTTTTTGGTTGATTTTAGACAAAAAGCCCAGTCATGGAATACATGAAGAATTGAGTGAGAGAGAGGGAGGAAAAGAGAGAGAGAGGGTGATGGAGAGAGAGAGAGCGAGAAGAGCCAAATAAATTTTTTTTCAATATATTGGTCTGATTTTTTTTTTACTGTTTATAGTTGCCATAAGTGCTTGATTTTAATAATGAAATACAATGCATGAAACTTCAAGGAGTGGGGCAAAAATGACTGAAAATAGAATAACAAGGAAGATATAATCAAGACTAATGTTGATTTCTGTTATATAAAATATGCATTCATAATAAAGAATTGTATTAAAAACAAAATAAAAACATATCAACCAGTGTATTACTGGAGGACAGCACTACTGGGACAAAACTGTCTTTGGAAAGAAAGTTCTCAATATCAATAAATAGAGCATTAATAGTAAACAAATTAAAATAAAAAGATTTACCTAACACTTGAAATTTCAAGTCAGAAATAAGTTTTTAAAACTTTTTAATTTAATTTGTTTACTATAAATATGGATTTCAATATATATTTTTCATTAAAAATGGCAGACAATGAAGAATTTTAAGATGCTGGAAAAACTTTAAAAAATTAATTAAATCTTTCTTATCTGCTGTATTTAATTTGAATCTTATTTAATTCATATTTTACTAAGAAATAAACATCTTCAATTAACAAAAATAAAGCAAACTGGTGGTTAATGCACCATTTGGGCACTAAAATAGACTAGTTTACTCATAAAAAAATAAGGAAAAATGTTATATATTAGCTTTCACGAGACCTTCCCCAAGGGACATCATTTGTCCAAATTGAAAAATATTGATTTCCTTTTTTTTATCATTTTAGTTCATAATATAGCTACAGTATAAAATTGATCTCTGGCATGTTAAAGAGTTATCTGAACCTAGTTGTTATTTACAAATGTTAAGTCTGAAACTGTGCATGTTATTGGTATCTGCATATATTTCGTTTTTTCTTTTAATTTTCTGAATTTTTGGAAATATTTTTTGGGGAGGGGACAGCAGTGATTTTTTTTCTAAAAGCACATGCACAAAATTTAGGGGATAATAATTATCTTAAATGTTTGTTCTTTAATATATTGATTTTTTAATGACAAGAAATCTTTTTTTTTGTAAAAAAAAATATCTACTTCAGACAAACAAATAGTTATTGCTTGTTTAAAATTTTCTTAAAATAAATCATATAAAATATATTTATCTGTTCTTTATTTTTAAAATTTTCTCGAAGGAAAATAAGTGTTTTCATACACAGCTATCAATGATGTAGGCAGTTTCAAACACGACATTTATAAATAAAAACTTACTTCAGGTAACTCTTGCCATGGATCAATTTTATGTTATGAACAGGACACACCCCTTCTTTAAAAGAAAAAAAAAAAAAAAAAAATCAATATTTTTTTTTTAATTCTAACAAATGTTGCACCTTGAGGAAGGTCAAATGGATGTACAAAAAATATTTATCAAAAAATTATCTATTTTTTTTAAAAGTGAACCAGTCTACTTGAGTAATACTTATATATTTATTTTAGCAGAAGACATTCCAGATAAGTTTTTTTTTCTAATGTTCTTTCTTTGTTGATTTAAAAAAAAAAAAAAAAATTCTCTGCTTGTAAGAAAGAATTATATTTATTTCCAGCTTCGAACAAAAGACATTTTTTACCAAGTCACCATGGAAGTGGGGTCAGGGAAGAAATTCAAAGGAGTTACTTACACTTCATCTATATTCGGATGGAATATTCTATTCATAAAACCTGTAAATAGAAAAGATCAATACATAAAAATATACAGGTCATATGCTTTTTAGTATATTATGAAAATACTTTATGAAAGCTTTTTTTCTACAAGAAACTTAACTGGTTTTAAGATAAAAATTGTTTAAAGCTTTTTCTCCCCCTGCCCCAAACACAAACATTGCAGAATGTCATTAATAAACGTGTCTAGACATAAACAATCAACTGTAAGAAGATTTTTTTATTATCAATTGTGTATTTCAGCTCATTCAATAGATTCTTTATTGCCTCTTCTACTTTTCAACATCAACACAAATACAAAAATCATGTCTTACTATAAATGCTATTCTCAGAGTTTAGGAAGATGTTACCACATACAAAAATTCCAATTCACTCAAACCATTATTTAAAATATTTCTTTCTTACCACAGGTATGACTCAATTAGCCTAAAAGTTAATGAATGCAATAATTTTCAAAAGGTAAAAAAAAAAAAAATAATGCAGTAATAAGAACATAAAAATCAGCAAAGATTTTTTTATAAACAAATTTACTCATGGTCAGCAACTAATACACAAATGCAGCAAATGAATAACATGAATGCAGCAGGTGAATAACATTTCTTATCAAACTAATAAATATATTCTATATAATTCTTATATAAAATTAGCTGCGAACTTGCCCGTAGGGTAGGATTTTCAACTAATTCCTACAGAAGCCAAAAAGATTTCATTTTCACATATTTTTTTTTTTTTAGAAATTCATTTCTTTTTTTAATTGATTTTTAATACAGCAATAAATACAGGAATAACACAGAAATATGTTTTTGTCAAGAGTTACAAATGAATAACTGTTGTTGAGAGGTTAACATTTATAACCACTGGTGTCCATTGCTCATGTTACAAATATAAATTTTTAATTTTTTTTTCTGTTTTTTTTTTTTTTTTTTTAAGTTGACTTGAAAAAGCTATAGGAGGAGGGAGAAACAGTTAGAGCTAACCAAACGGACATAAAGAGTCTAGCATTATACTTACATTGTAGATAAAACTCATGGTAAAAAATTTTAACAGGTTTTGTAATTTTCAAAAACGAGTGGCCTAGAGTCTTATTAGTTTGGTGAATTATATAGTTAAACATTTGTAAATGGCAAGGAATGAGACAATTATTGGTTTTATATATATATATATATATATATATATATATATATAGTTACGAACCCACGCCTAAATTTATTATAAAAACTATTGCTTATATTTTAGAAGCATTCTAAAATAAAGAGCCTTGTACTTACAGAAAACGTAGAGATAGTAAACCCAAAGAGATAGGTAGACTTAGTGGCGGCAAAGATTAACCAGAATGTACCCTTTCTTTCTCTTTTGGTCAACATGTTGACATCATGATTTACACGGATAGATTCCAGGTAGGAAAAGTTGAAACACTTTAAACTAAACTTTCTGACCCCGCAGATGAGAGAGGGAGTTAATGACCTCATTTCACCCACAATGGGAAAAAGTTTGTATTTGAAAATTGATTATGTGACAAGAAAAAAAAAAAAAGAAACGAATAGTGAAATGAAAAAGTTAGTCTTGTCCAGGCCTTCAGGCTGGATGGACGTGTTTGTGAAAATATGAGAAAGAGAATTCATCTTTGAATGGAATAGATGGACGCGTTTGCCATGAACACAAAAGTTTTGGTTTGTGACACCACCCACCGGGGGTCGCGGTCACAGTCCAGCACCAATATGTGACATCAACTGGTCGCGACGTCAATATATGACACTGCACCGTCAACCCGTGGTCAACTCCCAGTTGCGGCGCGAAGCTGTAAGGTTTCTTCCACCAGCGTTTGGGGTTGACTCACTGTTGCTTCCACCAGCCTGTGTCCCGGTCAATCTGGTCGTTCCCAGTTCAATACCAACTTGTCATTCCCAGCTCACTTCCAACGTCTGGTTACCGAAGTAACTGCTTTGATCTCAAGTCGAACCTACCCACGTTGTGACTTTGATCTTAGGTAGACGAAATCAATCAGGCGTTGGGCCATAGTGCAAGCTGAATCCGGGGTAAAGGTGATACTGCACAAGCGTAAGTAAAAAAATAAAACAAACTCACGAGGTTCAAATATGTTGAAAAATAACAATTATCTTTATCTATCTGTTGAATACAGGAGTGTGCTTCTCTCCCAGCCCGCTTCTATGGATTCGTGACACTTTTTGCGTTTCTTAAGTGAGTTATGATATCTTAAGTTGTTCATCAATAAAAACTTGCTTTTGGTAGGAAGACTAAGTCGAGAGGACATGGAAATCTTTCGGTCAGCTGCTGTGAGGCTGGTCTTCCACTGCAACTCCGAATTCTCTTGAAAAAAACTCTTGAAACTACTCTAGCTGCTTAGAGACGTTCGTTTATATGGACACCGACCAATTCCAGTGTGGGAGCCTGTCATGGTTTGGGTTCCTTGACAATTCTCAATTCCCAACAAGAATTCTCTTTGTTCTTAGGCCAGGAAAATTAACTACTTCCCATTGGAAGATTAATTACTCTCCACTTCGGGGTTCCTCCCTCATCCATGAGGGAAGGTCGGAGGAGAGTTATCTAGACTCTTCCTCTCTCACATTGGTATCTCATACCAATCCCCTCAGTGGGCGTTAACATCTTCTCCATCTTTCTCATACATTCACCTCCGCCTATCACCCATGCTACCACTTAGCCAATGATCTCTTGGCAGTGTGGGTGTGGCTAGATTGGCCCTCTTAGAATTATTCCAGAATTTTGATTACAAAATCATCTGTTGCGAAAAGTATCTTTCTTTTGTAAATAAAATAAATTCTTCTTTTTAATGTCGCTCAGTCTATCTTTCAATATAGCTCTTTCTCGCCTTAAGTATTTCCCATTTTTAATTTCTATGGTTAATTAGTTAGCCAATTACAATAGCTAAATAGTGTCACAGTTGGTTATGCAGAAAAACAAAAGTCTCTCTTCGAACCTCGAACAGACGACTGAACGCAAGCGCGTGGAATGCAAAAGAAATGTGTGAATTCTGGGAAATCAAATACGACGTACGTGGAATGCCGCTACATCAGGATGAAAGAGAGATAGAAGACAGCTTCGATTTATCCATCACCCAAGTCCCGAGTCCAGACGCTTATAGAAGAAAAAAAAAAAGAAAGCAAGAAAAGATCTCAAAAAGAGATACTTATGGGAAAAGGAAAGAAAGGCAGAAAAGATCTCAAAGGAGAATGCTGCCACACTGAGATGAAGGAGAGAGAGAGAGAAAGCAGTTCCAACTTAATTGTCACCCAAGCCCCTAAACAAAGGACGAAAGGGAAAAGAAAGAAAATAAAAAAAAAAAAACACCTCAAATGAGAATGCTGCTACACCAAGATGAAGGAAAGAAAGCAGTTTCAAATTAATCGTCACCCAAGCCCCAAGACAGGACGAAAAGAGAAAAAGAGGAAGTAAGAAAATACCTCAAAAGAAGACACTTATAAAAAGAAATAGGAAAGGAAAGAGATAAAAAAAAGGGGGAGTAGACATAAGAGACATTAGTGGAAAAGAACTTTTATTACAAGATAAGTTTGTTTTTCTTGTGTTTCATTTTTGTTTAAATGTACTTCTTTTTCATGTTTTGTACTTTCATGTAAGTTTAGAATGAGATCCTTTTTATTGCGTGTTTCTTTCTACTCGTCTTAAAATTTTGATGTTTTGTAAATTTGTGCAAGTATGGCACAAGGCTATATGTTGATTTGTGTTTTACCTTTCTTAGAGGATGTTCCCCTCTCACTATTTTGTTCATAATGTTTAAACGTTTATTCTTGACATATTGTCATTTTTGTTTTGCCCGTTTTTTTCTATTTTTCCCATGTTTTTACGTTTGTTAATAAATTTATATTCCTTGTCTCTATTGTTGTTTGTTGCCTATTGTGTTTGTTCCTTAATCAATTTTGCTCAGCCGTGTCTGATCAATCGGAAAGAGACCCTTGGAAAAGAAATATATTTTACGAAAATTGAGTAACAAAAAAAAGAAAAAAAAAAAAGAAAAGAAAACCCAGATTATGATCCTCCTCTACTACCGCTATCGATAGGGTTGGAGGATGGGGAAGGGTCATAAGAATATATATATATATATATATATATATATATATATACACACACACACATGTATGTATGTATGTTTAAGAGTATTTCTGCCTGAACTGTGTTCAGGATTTTTGAAATGAGGGATCATCCTTATTATATGCTTTGCTATTTGGACCAGTATGCAACATCATTGTGAGAGGGGCAGGGAAGAAAAAATTATACCAACCAAATAGAAAATTTATTTTCAATATCTCAATCTGATTATTTTTCCGTTAGCAGTTATCATAATTGTTTGATTAAATTTAGATTGGGGTGTGGATAAAGATAGATTAAGCCTATTCATCACCAAAGATAGAATAAGATGAGAGAATACTGGCCCAAAAATCAGAGAATATAATAACGCTTAAACTCCATCTGATTACTGAAGATACATGCATATTTAAAGATACCTTTAAGGAAATCAAATTAATAAAGAAAAAAATCTAAATAAAAAGGTATAGTCTAAATTCTATTCATTGATATGAGAATGACACAACGCCTTTTATTCCTTCACATCCAAAACTCTCAAAGTCATAAAAAAAAAAAAAATTAAAAATTGTCAGGAAAGCAACAGATTTTCCCAAAAAGTTTACAAATACATGTTGACATGATATTGTATAAAACTTGAGATAAAGAGAAAGAGCGAGAGAGCATGAAAGGGAGAGAATTAACTGAGAAATATACAAAGATTCAAAATATGCAGAAATGTAAGAATTGAGCATTCTTCAGAGTAAATTTGCAAAGAAGTAGAACTTTGGATCTCTAAGCAGCCAGTTCAATGCTCAACTTGCAGCAGTTTTAATAGCTTCTATTTAATTAAGAAATATGTTGAATTATGTTTACTAAATCACAACCATTATGAGTGAGTTTTCTTAAAAGAGACTTTCTCTACTCACCTATCGAGGGAGATTTGAACGGATACTTTTCAGGAAGGTCCACCCTCACTTTCCACACTCCACCTTCATAAGGCGCTGCAATGAAAACAACACATCATTAACAGGCAGAAGTCAGAGAGTACAACTTCAAAATAACCTCATTAATGGTTGACTTATAACTTGTCAAACTTTCAAAATTACATACCTTTTCTTATTCATAAACTATCATATTTTTTTTATAGATCCTGAAAATACATGTGAAGGCATCTTGAGGTCTATACATTTGGCAATGTATCAAATTGTTTTCTTTCAATAGAGAACAATAACTACCTAATTAGTTTCTCAGTGAAGAGCAAAGAAGTCGTGAGTACAAGAGACAATAATCAAGTACACAAATAATAGAGTTGGGGGGGGGGTCATTATGACTGACTTAAATATCTGAATGCCTCATTAAAAAAAAATAAAAATTTCCTGATTTTAGAATTTGGTAAGTATTAACTATTTCAAAAAATTTACAAAATTCAGTTTCAAAACAGCAAAAATCAGAAACATTAAACTTTAAATTATTTGTTGGCTTTATCTCATATCCAAGAATTTAATTTCTTCTTTGCTGATTGCTTCCTTTATTAGGATGGCATTGATGACTAAAAGCTTCCAGTTTCACCAAAATCTACACCTGTCATCCATTCCCTATCACAGTTTGGCTTTGCAAGAGTTGGTTGGTGGTAAAACAACATCAGAGTAGAAGAAAGTGCTGATGGCATGAATTTGTTTAAGTTGGACCTCAACTTGCCAGAAAGTGACCTACACCCTTGACTTCATATGGAAGAATTACAGAATCAAGTTATGAAAACATAATGGAGTGCCATTGGCTGTTATAATTTCAAGCAGGACCATCTGTAGCATGTCTGTCATATGTAGCCCACTTCATCTGTTGGTTCAACTGTTGAGATCTGTTGTAATTGTCATTCACTTATTCCACTGGTGGGGTCTTTGAGGTTAGTCATGCTTAATCTGGGTCCTCATTTTCAACTTTGCTGCCAAGGGTGGCCTTACCAGGAGTTTAGAACTCCCAACACTATCACTTTCAGAGTCACTGAACCATGCAAGTCTCTTCACCATGACAAGGAGTGACTATCAGCAGATAAGTTAAATTATTATTGCAGCAATAAAATATTTGCTCAGAAGTTTCATATTGTTTAAAATATTGTTTTAGCTGTTATTAATTTGGTTTGTACATTCTCATTTTCAATGCCTTTTGGACAAGTTTGACATTTTATATTTTCAAGAGGCACAAGACAAAATGTAAATTCTAAACAAATTCCTTATAATAAAATTTGGCTGTTCCCAAAATTATTAGTCAGTGTTTTTTGCTTTTTTTTTGTTTTTACTTTGAATGAATTGACATTTCAGTCTGACATTACAACCCAATAGTTTCAAGCACACAAATATAATATATATTTATCTATTCAGAGATAAGAGGAAAGACTGCAATGGAGTTTTAATACTTTGATTCAATTCTTTTCATTCATTCATTTGCTTATAAAATTATTTTGCAAAATGTCAAGCTCAGGCTGTGGCTTTAGATATCTCAAAGGCATTTAACATGCTGGTCTTCTTCCCAAGCTGAGGAGTTATGCCAAACTTTTGATTTGATCCACTCTTTCTTAAACTGTGTAATGAAAATAGTGTGGAACAGCCACTCTTCTAGATCCTTTCACATTAATACAGGTGTTATCCTGGGCTCTACCTTTGGACTTACTTTATTATCTTCATAAACGACATTCCCAAGAGCCATCAGTTTCCAATTCAGTATCTATGCTGATGAAAAAAACTATATATGCCTGTCTTAATAGTAAATCTAATATGTTTGATAAAGTAAAACTGGCAGTTGATCTCAAAAATGACCCTCAATCTGTTATCAGCTGGAGCCAGAAATGGTTTGTAATTTTAATGCCTCCAATATGAAACTATCATCTTTAGTCCTCTTAGAGAACAATTTTTGCCTTCCATCAGTATGGCTGATGCCAACCTCCAAGAGAGCAACTCATTGTACCTTCTCAGTCTCTTGTTTCTCACTGACATGAAGTGAAACAATTATATTAAAAGTATTGCTAGGTCTACTGCTAGGAAAGTTGGTTCACTGTGTCATGCCAGACAATTTTTCTTGCCAGAATCCATCTTTCACTTTTTTAAATCTACTATTCATCTGTGCAGTGAATATTGCTGCTGGTGCTCCTGCTACATATCACTGTATTAAACTTACAACAACCGCCATCTGTCTAACCCGGACGAAGCTTTGCCGAAGGGCAAGGTTTCGTTCGGGGAGATTGACAGCTCTCGAACCCGCCTAGTCGAGTTCGAAGGCTATATTTTGGGCTGGGCCTACTGGCTCGGATTACCCACATTAAACTCGGCCTTGTGCCACATTCGATCCCACATGAGGGGATAGCTAAATATAGCTACATATCTCTAGATGCTTGATAAAATCCAAAGAAGAATCTCCAAAGAAGAATCTGCAATGACATCTCAGCTTCAGTCATGTTCCCACTGTTATGACTTCCCTGTCAATTTTCTAAATATTTTCCTGGAAATTCTAATGAGCTTTCCTTTTTCATACTTCAACCTCATGAATTTTCTTCTTTTCCACCTATCGCTTTCCTGTCAACTACAATCTTCAAAAATTTAAATGCAACAATCACCGTCTGTTGTCTTTCTGAATCCTGTTCTTTTATTGTCCTTTCTCCTCACTAATGCTTTCTCCTTTTCTTTCACTCTCAGTAACCCCTTGTGCCTTGCTTAGGATAAAATGATTTAAAAAAAAATAAAATAAAATAAAGTGGGTGCATTGCAAAATATGATTCACAAAAACCTTTCAAAACTATTCTATCCTTTGAAAGCTAATTTATTAAAAAAAAAAAAAAAAGAAAAGAAAAACTTCATACAGATGTCTGGTGAACTTGTGTGTGTGCGTGAGACAAGTGTTTGATACAAAACTCTAGAATTGACAATCAGGCAAGTCTATTGAACTTTTGTTTATTTGTTGAATATAAAACTATTTACTGAATCCACATGAATTTTCAAGAAGTTAGTAAAATCTCCTTTTGAAAGGAAGAAAATAAAAACATTGTCAGGTTTGGGAGTGATGGGTTTGAGGTTAACAGGCTATTTTGCTTTTACCATAAATACTATTTTTTTAAGTGCTGCAGGCTAAATTATCAAAAGAGAATGGGGAGAGGCACTTGGTTCTCTTGGGAAAAATCACTTGCCTCATCTAATTAGTCTTTTTGCCTATATTTCCCCTGCTCTAGAAGATTTCTATAAATAGAATTAAAAAAAAAAAAAAAATGTTATTATGACAAATGTTGAAAGACACAAATGTAAACAGTTTGTGTGTGGGGGGGGAGTTGAATACAAATTCAAAAATTGATAAACTTTCATTTTTAGAACAATAGAATTCTTGTCATCAAATTACTCAACTTTATTTTTAGAGTTATAGACACTAAACTATGTATTAGTCTTCAGTTGTCATTTTTTTCTTTTAACCTCATTTTGATTGCAAGACAAAGATTTTTTTTTTATATTCTCCATTACAGATGAAAAATAAATAAACCTTTGACAAAATTTGAACTCACAACCCTTAGCCCCAAGGAAAAGGTCTGATAAAGAATGCACCTTACTTATTAAATTATAAAAGCCAACCAGCAGATGTTATTCAAATTTAATCATCTAGTTACAGTCATAAAATTTCAACCCTGCTTCAGTGTTTGCTTAGTAGTAATAACAGACATATGTTAAGATTTCTAAATGTCTCAGATGAAGCATTCCTCATTAATTTTTTTTATTGTTTTTTCTGTTATTCTTTTTGCTTCTTTTTTAATCCCAACCCTCAGATGGTTTTACATTCGATGTCACAACATCTGCTCATTAGTTTTCCTAGCCAAATGAGCGAAGTCATTGTCCATGTCAGATTACCAAGGATTGTAATTTAAATACAATCATAAACTAATTCTTGATTTGTGATTCATACTGCTGGCATAATGGTCAGAGAATGTTGATACCTTGACTCAAAGCAAAATAAGGTATTGTTAGCTGTGAGAAAAATACAAAGAATACGCAATGAATAATGGAATCCAGTAGGAAAAGGTTCAGTTGAAAACAAGAATAGCAATGATGACAAATAAAAGACATGGAAACTAATGAGAATAACAGTAAAAGATATCACAACACACCTTAACTGACCAGAAAAAGAAAAACAAAGTTATAAAGGAATATTTAGCAGGATTATGATTTATAAACTTTTAGAAGAAAAAAAAAACTTACTTTCCCATGTCATGCTGAAACTTAGCAAGACCTACCATAGATGAGTTAGTAATAGCAGCAAGTAATGAAAAGTGTCCAATAAGTATATTAGATAGAGAGGATCAGATTTCAAGTTCCTCTTGTCAACAAAGAGCCAGTATTTTGTGCATCAGAGACATTACACATCACTTAAACAAGTAGACAAATATTAGTTTTGCAATTTGCACATTGCTTAATAAAGACTCACATTTACTTATACACTTATAGGTATTAAAATATTTCCAAACAAACTGCCTTTTCTTTACAAACATTATTGTGGAGTTTTAAATCAAAACAAACTGTAATAATTTTACGCAAATGAGGTGTTGGCTCAAACAAAAGTTAAAATGGATGCTGAGAGAGTTTCAAGTGGTGAGGGTTATGGTTTATGTCTAGAGAAAACCAGCTTCAACAATCAAGACTCAGTTTCTAGATAAGTGGGGCTATTTAAAAAGGTGACTGACTGACATTTATCAGTTAAAGAGATATTACACCCTGACAATAGTTTTGGTGTATATGCCAAAAGGGAAAAGTCACTGAAAAGCAATTTAAGTTGCAACTTGGCAATAGCAAGGAATATTAGCATGTAGATGCTACAGTGAGAAATATAGAATTTCTCTCCTTTATAAAAAGTCACATAGGAAATCAAAAATGGCTTCCACTTTTCCACCTACAATACATATTCTGCATTTAGGAAATATTATTGCACTTCATTTAGTCATCAATACATTCATTTTTTTTTCTTTGTTGATTTT